CCCCCCCCCCCCCCCCCCCCACATCGACCCGGGGTTTTTGTTTCCATCCCCCTTTGTCCTTTGGCTTTTTCTAAGATGAACGCCCCACGCGCCTCGAGAACGCTTCTGCGACACGTTTTCACCATGCGATTTTGGCAGGACGGCAAAACAGATAAACATTTCTCCAGGGGCTTGAGCCCCACCGCTTACAGAACCCAGGACGGCCGCGGAAAATTCTAGAAACCCACGTGGACGTCGACATCCTGGGTGTGCTTCATCCATCTGTTATTTACAAAAGCTTTCAAGCGCTTCCAGAAAAAAAAAGCATCATGAATCATACAGAGTTGGTACTGAGGAGAGACCTATCCCATTTCTACAATATATTTCATAGCTAAAACCAGCATAATCCATGAAGCACACAGCCGAAATAAAGAGATGAAGCACAGCTTGCAAATGGAAGGCTGGTTTTAAGGGGCGGATGAGAGCAGAGTCTCCCAGCAGCCGCGCTGCCACCATCATCAGCGCTAGTCTGACATCATTCTCCCTGGGAATGTGGCAGAAAAGCATGACCGGGCCTCCCTGCTCTCAGGCTCGCTTTAAAAACAACAAACAGTGCTTCACTGCAACTGGCGAGCAATACACATTAATATATAAACAAATATTCAAGCAGCTACATTAATTAGAAGCAAACATTTTACAGCAAGAAAGCTTTACAACCTGAATGCCTGTCCTCCCTGTTTCCTGTCAGATTTATCAAGCTGACTGGAATAAGTAGGAGTATTAATATCTCATACTTTAGCTGTGTTATAAATATTCAGTTTACAAATAAAACTGCACAGACTGGGAAAAAAAACTTTCTGCTTACAAGGAGCTTTTCACCTTTTATTGTAACCGAGTTTTTCCCCAGTTTCATATAAAACACGAGGTTGTTAAACAGGGTAAAATCCAGCCGGAGCGTGACGGACCGCACAACGGCACGTTAAAACCTCAAGAAGAACTTTTTCTCATCTTATTCCGAGTGGAAAAGATACCCTCATGTTGGCTCTTGTGTCTTTGAACACATCAGATAACCAGCAAATGCTTTATCTCAAGGCTTCCTTGCACAGCCCACAGGCACTGACCCTCCCCTCCCTCCCCCACCCCCACCCCAGTCCACATCCATGTCCCAACTTACCTAGTCAGTTAACTACAGAGCCCTCGATTACCTGGCCCAGCTACGCAGCATTTGTGAGGAGGGGGGCCTAGGGCCAACACTGATAACCAAGAGGTGCCCGCTAATTTGCCTGATACGCCCGTTCCCTCCCTCCGGCCGTCTGACGGAGAGACCGACGCCTTCCGCACCGTCGAGGCCCCCCAGGAACGCCCTGCGTGCCAATCGATTTTACGCCACGCCGCTGGACCTCTCACTCCCCGCGCAGCGTGTACCCAGGAGGACGACTCGTTAGAGGGATTTTGTGTTTTCCTCAGCAATCCGTTGCCAGCTTGCCTCTAAATCTGACCAATTACACTAATTATGGTGAGGCGAGCATTGTTTGGGAATGGGGTAATTAGGGGGAGGCCAGTCGGCCGGCACGTTACCCTCAGCTAATCAGCTACAGAACGGAGAATAAATGGACTGAATTTGCTCAGAGAAACCTGTAAAGAGCTGACTTTGTTTGTAAATTACCACGCCTTGCATTCTGTGTCACTATTCAGCAACTAATCTTATGTTTAATTTTTTCAGCTAAGGTTTTTTTCTTAAATATCTGTGTAGCAGCTCAGGCTGTCAGTCAACCAAAACCAACAATCTCTGGAGTTGATCTGGACCAGACTTGTGTCAGATAAACTGTAAGAGTATGAATTATTTTCACCTTCCTGCCTTGAAGGTTATTGTAAACGATGCGTTATTTTCCGTTTATGCAAGCACAGGTACATTGGAATGCTGCTTGTGGTGTGTCCCATTACGCTCTCTGTCGAGATGTACGCACAGGGTGGGGTCTGAGCACTGGGTCAGGCCATTTATCCAGGGCCCTAGGAGCATTTTATTAGGTTAAGGGCCTCACTCAAGGGCCCAACAGGGCTGGCAACCTTCCAACCACACAGATGTGTGTAATTGTTGTAGAGGCACATATAAATGTCTTTGGTAACTTGCAGGAAAATCTGTCCTGAGGAAAGCAAGACGCCTGAATTTCTAGATGCGCGTGGAGTCCAGAGGAGTCATTTCAACGTGTGGCCGCAGTGCAGAGACCCGACACATGAGGCTTCAGGCCGCTTCCCACGGCTGGTGGTGGCAGGGGATGGTATACGCTGAAATCCAACACACATCACGCGGGACGCCACACACTATAATGGGGAGAGTGTCATCGGGTCCAACTACGGTCCGCAACTTAGGTGACCATTTAGTGAGTAGCATTTGAGACACCGAAACGTTAGGTCATCAGCAGAAAAAGGAGGCGGGGTATACAGCATGGGCTACTTTATAGACAGGCTCCTGACCAATCAGAAAAGCCACACCGAACACGTCATATTCACATCATGTCGGGGACAGGAAGCTTCCAGGAAAACTACACCTCCTGCTATTGGGGGAGAAAAAGGACAGAGAAAGTCATGGATGCTAACCCTCTCACCGCCACCCCCACCCCCGGAGACTGACCTGCTCCAGCCACACACCTGACTCCTCATCCGGAGCCCACAGGATCATGGTTTTATCCATAGATGCAGACAGCAAGCTGGTGGGTTGATGTACGCTGCCACCTAGAGGAGACAGGTAGGAAGTACGGAATGACTGACAAGAGTCAGGTCTGCTGCAGCACGCTTTGCAAAGAGAAAAAGGAAGGGGGGGCCGTACTCCCCCCCCCCCCCCCCAAGCCACAATCGGCATGTCGGCTGCGACACACTGCAAACAGAATGATTTCAATTTAGCGATACGAGCAGCGATGCTGCATAACCCAATCACACTGAACTGGTACCGCTGTAACTGAGATCCAAAGCAAGTCCCAGTCAATCAGAGCATCGTTACACCATACAAACCATTATACAGAACAAAAGGCTGAAAACGGGCCATTTCTGTGAAGGTTCTGGCACCACAAGCTTGGAGAAGATTAAAACCACATCTCACTGTGGGCTTTGAGCCAGCCAGGAGGTCAGATGGCCTACAGAGAAACCCCTTACGTATAATAGACAAAAACCTGAGGACTTGCGATGGCTCCCGAGCACCGTGACAACGCGGCGTCCGTCGCCTTGGTTACCTGTGACGAGCGGAGGCTGCCAGTGTATGCCGTAGACCCAGTTCTCATGGCCGGCGAGCACCGTCTCCAGGGTCACGGCGAATCGCAGGGCTGCGCCGTCTGTGGCAGGAGACACGGTCACGCTGCCGTGAGAAGCGCGGCCCTCACACTCCACCATGTGGCACCGCAAACCACAAATAACTGATTATAGAAAACCAGGCCGGTGACACCATGTTGAATTTCTTATGTAAACAGGGTCTTTTTGGACTAAGTTTGATGTTAAAGTTGAAGAATATGCTCCAGAGAGCACACGCAAAATGTAACCCTTCACTATATTCTAAGTCGCTGTGGATAAAATCATCAAATAGATGAATAACCGTATTGTAAATATGATGTTCTGTGTATGTAGTGCATGTCTACCATGTCCTCATCCAGTCTGGCATTCAGTCACACAGCTGGATGGTCACCTTTCATTTACGAGCTTTATCAACGGCGCCACCTGCTGACCCTGAAGCTCAGTAAACAGCGAGCCGTCACATGACTGACGTCTTAGGAAGGTGACCCCTTCAGATGTCACTGGCAGATTGTGCTTCAGATAGAGGCAAAGGCATGATGGCACCATGAATATAAATCTACAGACAGTAAAAATGTAAACACTTATAAAGGGGAGGCAAAGCGTGACCTGGGAACTCACAGGGAATGAACGTATTTAATCACTGTGACGTGTTTAAGGGAAACACAGGGAAATGCGTCTGATGAGCTAAGGGCTTGAGACCAATCGCCCGTAAAAACGATGAGTCATAATGAACTCGTGGCGGCGAGTTGATATTAATCCCACACTGATTTTACACGGAGCAGATAAACAGCGACGGTCCGTGCGGAGACGCACCGTTCACTTGCACGTCGAAGGTATCCTCCTTCAGCCCGATCACGTCCTCGCCGCCGTCGTCGTCGTCGTCACCAGCCCCCTTAGCGAACACCCCCCATATCCGTATCAGGCAGTCCTGAGCACAGCTGGCCAATAAAATGCCCCCTTCTATAAAAAAATAAAAAACAAAAACTAAATAAGCACACCTGACCATGGACTGCGCTGTAAGGACGGTAAACTTATTTCTGGCAATATTTCATCAGGTTTCATCAGGGAAGCGGGATGCCAGAGAGCACAGGCCTGTTTATGCATTATGGAGAGACATGGCTGCCCCTCCCCCCTCAGCTACGGCAAAGGGGCGGAGCCTTGCGAATAAGACACTGCCAGGCCTGAGAACCATACTAACCAATGGTCAAAGGCTCTAACGCAGTGAAAGTCATCCTGGGTTAAGGTCCGTACCTCTGAACTGGAAGGCCTCCCGTTTCACACGGGTGTCGCGGAAAGGCGTGCGGTACCTAAACAATTTCAGAGGTTCCGCACACAGGGGGGGGGGAGACTTGTCCTCGCTGGATGATAGATGACACCTGCTACAGTGTCTAGACACACCGCTGAGATTTAGTCTGTGATGCAGAGAGTGTTTCACTCCACAGAGCAGAAAACAAGCCCTCACCGACAGCAGCCCACTGCAGTCCCCGAACCCAGTCCTCATGTCCGTGCAGCGAGTGCATCTTCTGAAACTGAACACCAAAGAATGACCAATAGCGTTACTGACTTAGATATGTATATATCTCAATGTAATGTTGTGTTAGCGCAGCATTAGGTTACCTCTCTGTCGTGCTGTACATAGAGGTGGACTCGGTTGTCATCACCCCCGCAGGCCAGAATGGGAACTGCAAGGGGAACCGAATCGGTTAACGGGGACGTCGCTCTCTGCGGTGCCACAGAACACGACCAAACAGCTCTTAGAGATTGTAAGCAGGGGCGAAGGCGAGGCGAGGGGAGGCGAGGGAGCTGGAAGGCCCCGAGAGGCCGGCGAACCTGCACAGCCTGGCAGCAGCCCTAGCGACACGTCCATCGCGAAGCCGCCGCCGAGGGGCATCGTCTGCAGGCACTGAGCTGACGGGTCAGACGGGAGACCAACATCTCCACGTTAGTAACAATCACCAAACTGAGTCTCAGAGGGTCAGTCTCCGTCTCAGACACGCTGGGCCGGTGGGGGCTGATTGGTCAAGGGGAACGGCACCACCCTCCAGGTACAGACACCCCCACAGCTAACCCTTCTTAAAGGGCTACCCCCCCACAATGGCCCTTTTTGTTTTCAACATGCAATATTAAGGGATTACAACAAATTTCGTTCTTTTAAAACGTACTTTTAAAGTATTTTAGAGGTTATAACACATAATTTATCAGACATACCACACTGATGTAGCACAAGGCAGAAATAAAATCCAACCTAATCGAGGCAACAAAAGGCCCCGAAAACTGCTTTAGAATTAACTCGCACTGAAGGGTGCTGGGGGCAGGAGTGCAGCAGGCTTTGGGTCTGTGCTTCTATCCGGAAGGTTGTGGGTTCAAATCCCATGCCCAGAGTAATCAATTCACCAGCGGACCCTTGGTTGAGGAACTTAACCCTAAACGCTACTGTCCGCAAGCTCACACTGCAGGGAACTCTTTACCTTGGCTACACTGGTACAGCCAGATTTTAACAGTGGAGTCTGAAGCAGCAGATGCTATGAGTATCTGTGAGGATCCCTCCCCTTTCAGGTAAATGGCATCCACTGCAAACACTGGAGCAGTGTGGCCCAGGCACTGTGCAGAGAGGGCAAACTGGAACACAGGAAGAGAGTACTTACAGGCACTGGGGAGGATGGTTATAAACAGAAAGGGTTATAGACATAAGCAAGTTGCAGAGGTTAATCAACATATCACTGATACATGCTGGCAAAAATTTATAGTGCAGTTCTCAGCTACTATGGTGGTTCTGAACTTAGAAATAATATTTTTGGAACAATGGCTTATTCTGCGACTTCGATGCGCATGAGGAAAAAACCCTCATCAAAGAAATACTTAGGCCCCTCCTTACGGAACTACAGGTTGAGAAAAAGCATAGCACATATAAAGGTAAAGCATTCAGACTAGGACAGATTACCGGAACACTTTTCTGTTCATCTTGAGCCTCCCAAACAATAACGTGATTGTCAGATCCTCCGGATACCAGATGAGTCTCTGGACCTGTCACATCACATGCATCATTCAGTTAAAGGACTGACCGAGACCCCAAACAATGTCACTAAAAAACATAATATTTAACCAATGCTTAACTTACCACAGTCTTCTCTGTGTATCCACTGCACTGCGTTCACCCTCCCAGTATGTCCATTCAGGAGGGAGATGATTCTTATTCGCTAACGTACAAGAGCAGCGACATTTACATTCAAAGTAAACGATTTTAACATATCCACTCACTTGTTCATTGAGTGCAACTGCATAAAAAGACACGTTGTGAACTATTTTCTTGGCGATAAACATTCAAATGATGATTTGTATTTCATTCAGCTTGTCAAACTGACACGAACACAATTGCCTTGACATACACATTACTACCTTGCTACATTACTACTACTTACTCCAAGATGTAAACAGTGAATCACGTGCAAACACAAATGGATTATAAATTGAAGTTTTACCTTTGGATCATACAGAGCAACAGAATTGCAAGTTCCGAAAGCAATTAACCCCCCTCTTCCCCAAGAAAGAACGTGTGGAGTGCGATTAGCGCAACAAGAAACATGACACGTTTGGACCAAGGCGGCCGCCATCTTTAATTCTGCATCCGAATGGTGCAGCGAAGAAAAAACGCCGTGAAAAACAAACGAACTAAACGAAAGTTCCTGGGGGATTATTTTAATCCGTCTCCTCCAAATGGTGCACACTTAAAGGTAATATAAAACCACATGAATATAATATAATATAATATAATATAATATAATATAATATAATATAATATAATATAATATAATATAATATAATATAAAAACAGTATTACGTGACATGCCATTCACCCTTGCCTTGTACCATCCTAGATGCGATGCCAGTTCATAAGAGGGCACGAATACACCCATCCATACACTATAGGCTATTTATAAATGCCAGTTGGCCTAACTGCATTGGTTTGGACTGTGGGAGGACACCTGAGCCAGAGGAAATCTGTACTATCTGTATGCCATTTGCATTGGCTAGATATTTTTATCATTAATCACTCTTAAATCGATTTGATTTCTGATTTATTCCTGACCAGGATAAATGGATTGATGATGGATGGATTTTCCAATTAGGCAATTGAAATAAACCAATTATGGTCACAGAGAGCCTTATTATACAGAGGAAACACAATTCTTTTGACCAGTTGACATATCACTGAAGAGAACGTCTTCATTTAACTAAACTAAAAAGTTCCATTTAAGCACATGTTTGCTGATAAACAACATATGGGGATACAATATTTAGTCCTGAGATTGTTAGATTTAAGGCTTGTGGATTAAAATGAATAGTGACAGCCTCCTCTGGAATACAACTGAGCAAACATTTCATGGGGGGTGGCTGTATCACCCAGTTTGTCGTACGGCATCATCCACAGAAAATGTTTCTGTTGGTCACAAAGCCAAACCGGATTCAGCATTTTCACAGCATCCGTGTTATTAACAGTCCAAGGTTTACAGCACTATTTCTTATGCTGCCTCTGGAGGTGCTGGTTTCTCATTGTGGTTATTAATAAGGTCCCCTGTGCCCGACACCAGCTGTTGCCAGGTTGTGCTTGACAACGGAATACCATGCCCACACCCACGGGTCAAACACAAATAGACAGGTCACATGATGCTCCGGGGCTTCAAGAGCATGTCAGCCTTCACCGTCGGCTGATGGTATCACTGGAACTTGTACACACTTCTTTAGCCACATCTTGGTGGCCTGTCTTCACGTCTTCGATGGGGCTGTTTCCCCCCTTCTTTAGTTTGTTTCTCCATACCATTTAAGAGGAGAGTGATATCTATTGTTGATCCTCACATTTCAGTCCCAGAGGCAAAAGTTTTGACAGAGAAAGTCACACCCAAATATTAATTTAGCTTTGGTGCCAAATAGATGCTTTTAAAGTTCCCTAACGCTTTTCTTTTAAATTGCAGTCTATATGTAAACTCAGAATGAATTTGGAAATAGCAATTTTCTTCAGTTCTTCAGCTGACATTTAAACAAAGCTTTTTTTTTTTAATTGTCATGATTTTCTCAATCAGTTACATTAACATATTTTTATTTAGGCCAAAGCAAAATGAGGCAAACAGCACATTACAAACATACATGCTGCCAAGGAGTCGATTAGGCATAGATGCACCTAGGCTGAGCTTCCAATGAACATCCAAGTACAAGTGTAAGCAGTATTAGAGTCATATTAGCATATTAGAGATTACAAGGTCAGCTTCCCCATTGGCCCTTAGCGGGGACAGAGTGAATGGAAGGGGCGGAGCCTCGCATATTGAGATTACAAGGTCAGCCTCTCCATTGGCCCTTAGTGGGGACAGAGTGAGAGGAAGGGGCGGAGCCTCGCATATTGAGATTACAAGGTCAGCCTCTCCATTGGCCCTTAGCGGGGACAGAGTGAGAGGAAGGGGTGGAGTCTTGCATATTGAGATTACAAGGTCAGCCTCCCTATTCGCCCTTAACAGGGACAGAGTTAGAGTAGTTTAATTTTGCAAAACAGCAACTGACAGCCGCTCTCAGCCACACCAGGGATGGGCCAGCTCCCTCGTTCCCTGACAGCCGTCCCCAGGCTTCAGTGACAGTTTTGTCACAGCCGGTTTGGTCAAACGTTTGACGGGATGAAAATCTGTTGAAAAATTCATTGCTGCCAGAGCCTGGGGACAAAGGGTAATGACGAATCAGACAGCGTGGAGGGGACAAGGACGGCCAAGCCAAGACAAAAATATGCGGCCAGGGTAATGTCTGGCTTCAAAGCCAGCAGAGAAATGAGCTGTTATACACAACACCTTTACACACAGTTTACTACAAAACAAAGTGAGTAAATACATTAATAATCCATTTTAAGCTTTAAATGTTTTCCCTAGGTCTGCAGTCTGCAGCTTCTATCTGGAAACATTTCTAGTCTGTCATCACTTTGTATACAATACAAGATTGGAACCATAGGTCCTGCAGTAGATGCTGGGTCCACGGAAACTGCATCCACTGCCGTCTACTTCATCTGGCTGTCGAGAGAGGCTTCCGGAAGCCCCTCCAGGCATGACATGCTAAGCCAGCGGGATGTTTGCAGATACTTCCATTAAAATGATGCTTTGTGCGCGCTCGTAAAGCGCAGCTGCTCCGGCAGCGTGACTGGCCGCCAGCCGCCGCATGCGTTCGCCTTTGAGGACGCAAGCTGTCATCCAGGCCGGAAACCGCTCCGGGTGGGCATCGGTTCTGATTTGGCACCGTCCCACGTTCGTCTGCGAGCTGCAGAACTCGTGCCAGAAAGGGCAGGGTTTCAGATAAAGGCTTCATTTTGACATCTGTGCAACACTTAGAGGCCAGTATGGTGCCTTAGGGTTAATGTAACACTGTAGCTGAACTCCAGGGTTGGGGGTTCGAGTCCCCCCCCCGCAGTTGTTGGAGTCTGCATGTTTTCCCTGTGTCTGCACGAGTTTTCTCTTGCTATATTGTTTTGCGCTGTCTGTACTGCTTTGCATTATCTTTAGACAATGAACAGCTGAGCCCTCCAATGCACCTGCTGCACATGGCCAACAAGGACCGTGAATCTTCAGTATTTAAAAACGGGCACTTAGATTTACTGGTGAATCAGTGGTGACTCTAAATTCTCCTTTGTGTGTGTGTGCTCATTTGTGGCAACCAAATGTTCCCAACATGCGATAAAAACCTATTATTTTGACCTTTTGGGAACATTTTTTCGGTTTCGGAAACTCATTTTTATTAAAATCTGTGACTGATCAAAAAACTAAAAATGGCAGAAGTCTTGTATTTTGTTTGGTTACTTAAGGCCAAGGTTAGGGCTGGGATTAGGGTTATGTTCCCAGTGCATCCTGGGATAGTCTCCAGGCTCACAGTGATTCTGTATTCCATCGGTGCCTTACCTAGCCAGCTTGGAAGCGTTGTGTTTACCCTCCATCAGTTAATGGCAGCAGCAGTTCGCATGCAGGAAGTAGCCGGGATCGGCTGCATCTGAATTCCCCAGCAGCACCACTGGAGATCTCATCAGCACAACAAATTGCGTCGGGGAACCGCACGTGTCATTCATTCCTGAGCCAAGAGCCTGCAGTGGAGTCACTGTCATTAAGTGAATTAAGGTTGTTTTCCTTTGCAGAACAGCTGAGGCAGATTGTAATTAAAGCAGTTTAAAAAAGCATAACAATGGAGCTGGCATGAGAGAGGGTGGTTTTATTTCTCATTAGTTATGCACTCTGACAACACGTTGGCACATTTGCAACAACTCCTATAATCCATTTTTTTCCCAACATCCTACTCTCAATTGGCTGAACAATTAGTTAAATCAATCCTTCTTTCATCTGAAGATCTCCCATTTCAGATACACAATAAATGAAGTGTCAACTCATATTTGCAGGCTTGTGCATTTAATTTCCGAATTCAGGAGAAGATTTTCAGCTGCGGGGGTCTGAATGACATATTATATGATTTTTTTTTTTTATGGAAAAATTCTATTAAGCTGTACAAACAGACCGAAAATTGACACTTCATTGTGGGAACAGTGACAGGAGAGTTTAAAATGTATCTGCTCACAGGCTGGCATTTATGGAAATACAAATTACTTTGCTTATAGCTCAGAATATGTGTGCATGAGATAGACATATACTTACCAGATTACCAGTACAGCAATATTTACCTTTAACTTACACAGAATTTGATAGCAAAAGGCTCTGGATTATGCACCTGTGATCGGAAGGTCAACAAACTTTTTTCAATGGTGATATTGTTATTCCACTGACCGCAGGATTTGAAATTACAACCTTCTGGACATGGGCGTAGATCGCTGACCTGCTACACACCATACTGAGTTCAGCTGGTTGATTGAGAGTTTTGGTTGAAGTTTGCTATGCACGTAACCAAGTTTGGTTGAGAGTTTGATAAGTTTTGGTTGACGTTTGCTACGCACCATACCGTGTTTGGTTGAGAGTTTGATTGGTTGATTGAGAGTTTTGGTTGACATTTGCTACACACCATATCGTGTTTGGTTGAAAGTTTGATTGGTTGATTGAGAGTTTTGGTTGACGTTTGCTACGCACCATACCGAGTTTGGTTGAGAGTTTGATTGGTTGATTGAGAGTTTTGGTTGGCGTTTGCTATGCACCATACCGAGTTTGGTTGAGAATTTGAAGACAACTTTTCTTGCAAATATATCAACTACCTGTAAAATCGGCCTAATTACAAAGCAGCCAAATGAGACAGATGGACGTGTGATGGCACTGCCAACCGTCGTATATCTTCTGAGATCTCACACGCTGCGAGATACATGAAGGTTAGCTCCTCATGACATTAAAGCACCTTTAAAAACAGCTTCCCCAACCCTGGGGCACAGATGGCTTTGTTTTGGAAGTGCTGTGCGATTTAGACGCCTCAGGACCCGACAGCAAACAGGACCAAACGATTAGCGGCTGTTAGCAGCAGCAGGCTGCAGGCTGCCTTCAGCAGCGGGGGCTGTTTGCAGGTAATTAAGCACGCTCAGTCCCCCCCCCCACATGAATAAAGATGCTGTGATGGGGGCTTTCCACCTGAGCACTTCTACCTGGTAGGAAGGTCAAGAGCTGTGTTTCCTGGCAACCAGCAGGGGGAGCCCAG